AATTCAGCATTTCCTTTCATTATGAATATGGTCAACAAACCCACCAGTGCTAGCAGCACCTATGACTTTGTCTCCAGTAGAAACCACAAATACTTTGGGCCAGACACAGTGGCTCACACCTATAATCCCAGCAGGAGAATCATTTGAACCCAGAAGGTGGAGGTTTCGGTGAGCTGAGATTGTGCCGCTGCACTCCAGCATGGGAGACAGAGCAAGACTCCATCTCAAAAAAAAAAAAAAAAAATCACAGATATTTTCTTTTTTTTTTTTTTTTTGAGATGGAGTTTTGCTCTTGTTACCCAGGCTGGAGTGCAATGGCGTGATCTCGGCTCACCGCAACCTCCGCCTCCTGGGTTCAGGCAATTCTCCTGCCTCAGCCTCCTGAGTAGCTGGGATTACAGGCACGCGCCACCAGGCCCAGGTGATTTTTTGTAGTTTTAGTAGAGACGGGGTTTCACCGTGTTGACCAGGATGGTCTTGATCTCTTGACCTCGTGATCCACCCTTCTCGGCCTCCCAAAGTGCTGGGATAACAGGCGTGAGCCACCGCGCCCGGCCAGATATATTCTTCTCTATGCTGTTGTTGCAAATGTATCAAAGTAGTGTTTACACTCATCAGGACTTCAAAATTGCCATTGTTATTAGGTTCCTGCTGGATCTTACTACATAATGCATTAATAAATACATGCATGTATTACCATAGTGACACTTTCACATTTTAATAACTATAATTCACACTATTGTTTTCCCTTGTAATCCTATGTATTTTGTGCATTTAAAAACATTATTCTGAGAAAGGATACACAGGTTTCATATGATTGTCCAAGGGGTTCATGGTGCATGCACACACACACACGTACCTGTGCACAAAGGTTGAGAGTTCCTGATCTAAAGGAAGTAGGAAATGGTCGGGAACCGTCCTCACCTTGATCCTGTTCACCATGTTGTATTACAGATATTTATATATCTTTCCTTACTAGCCTATGAATTCTTACAGGGCAGGAATGATGTCTTTTATTTCTTTGGGTCATCATTATAGAATATTTTCTGTGTATAACGATTGAGCCCCATTGAGTGAGGAAGAAGAATGGAGAGATTCAAAGGAGAGAGATAATTAATTCAGGTGCTTATCCAAGCATTCATTCATTCATTCAAGAGAACTGCTCAATAGCTACTCAATGCCAGCCAGTATGGTAGGCGCTGGGGACAATAGGAAGAATGAAACCCAAGTCTTTATTCTCATGGAGCACCCATTCCAGCTAATGGAAGAAAGATAAAAGATTTCTAAAGAAAGACAAATGAGAATGAACTCACTTGTTCTGGAAAGGCAGCATCATGGGAAAACTCTAGTTCTTAAATCTATATTCATCAACTCTTTCTGGGTAAAATGTTACTGGGAGAAAGTAACACTAAGGCTAGAAAATGAAGATAAAGATGCTCTTCCTTTTTTTTTTCTTTTTTTTTTTTCTTCTTTTTTTTGACAGATGCTCGCTCTTCACCCAGGCTGGAGTGCAGTGGCACAATCTTGGCTCACTGCAACCTCCACCTCCTGGGTTCAAGCAATTCTCCTGACTCAGCCTCCCAAGTAGCTGAGATTACAGACATCTGCCACCACGGCTGGCTAATTTTTTGTATTTTTAGTAGAGATGAGGTTTCGCCATGTTGGCCAGGCTGGGCTCGAACTCCTGACCTCTAATGATCTACCCACCTTGGCTTCCCAAAGTGCAGGGATTACGGGCATGAGCCATCATGCCCAAAGATGCTCTTCTTCTTTGCTTTTTTTTTTTTGAGATGGAGTTTCACTCTTGTTGCCCACGCTGGAGTGCAATAGCACGATCTCGACTCGCCACAACCTCTGCCTCCCGGGTTCAAGTGATTCTCCTGCCTCAGCCTCCCAAGTAGCTGAGATTACAGGCATGCATCACCACCCCTGGTTAATTTTGTATTTTTATTAAAGACAAAGTTTCTCCATGTTGGTCAGGCTGGTCTCGAACTCCTGACCTCAGGTGATCTGCCTGCCTTGGCCTCCCAAAGTGCTGGGTTTATAGGCGTGAGCCACTGTGCCCAGCCAAAGATGCTCTTCTTAAAAGGCAGAGTCAGCTGGGTAAAGTGGCATGTGCCTGTAATCCCAGTTACTTGAGGAGGTTAAGGTGGGGAGATTGCTTGAGCCCAAGAGTTCGAGACCAGACTGGGTAACATGGCAAGACCCTGTCTCAAAAAAAGAGAAAAATAAAGTCTTTGGAGTTCTCATGAGGACAATGTACCTTGCTGAATGGCTGCTGGTCTTACCTAGTAAACTTTGAGGATAAGTTAACCCTCCATTGCCCAAGATGTTTCAGGGGCTGGCATGTTTAAAAAAAAGCAAGATAGATGTCTGCCCTCTCGGAGTTCTGGTTCTTGTTCAAGGATTCTATGATGCTATCAATTAGTCAGAATGTGCAAGGTTGCCTAGATACCTTGGGGCTCCCTTTTCTTGTAAGAGACCAGGGCTGGGAGAGAAGGGGCCAAGTGACCTCCCCTGACCTGCCAAACATGAGCTGAGAGACCGGGTCATGGCAGAACTTAACGGCACAACAACCTGAATCCATGGGTCAGATCATTTGTCCAGAAAGGACAGCAAGAAAGAGAAAGACCCCCTAGCAGAACCAGGAGAAAGAGGGACTGGAAGCTGAGGATGCCTTACCATGAAATGGGAGAACTGGGGAAAGAGAGTAAGAACAGCAAGGTTTTTAATTGATTAAGACAAAACCTGATAACATGAAACTTTTCTCTGAAGAGGCATAACTTCCAAATACAAAAAGGTACATTTAATAAATTTATACAACATTTCTCTAGAGAGATATCACCTTAAAATACAAAAAAAGATAATTTTGGCTGGGCGCGGTGGCTCACGCCTGTAATCCCAGCACTTTGGGAGGCCGAGGTGGGTGGATCACGAGGTCAAGAGATCGAGACCATCCTGGTCAACATGGTGAAACCCCGTCTCTACTAAAAATACAAAAATTAGCTGGGCATGGTGGTGCGTGCCTGTAATCCCAGCTACTCGGGAAGCTGAGGCAGGAGAATTGCCTGAACCCAGGAGGCGGAGGTTGTGGTGAGCCAAGATTGCGCCATTGCACTCCAGCCTGGGTAACATGAGCGAAACTCCGTCTCAAAAAAAAAGATAATTTTGGTAAATCTAGGGCCTGTTCACAGTAGTATCACCATATATATGTATTGAAAGTATGGACCAGGCACAGTGGCTCACGGCTGTAATTTCCAGCACTTTGGAAGGCCAAGGCAGGAGGATCACTTGAGGCCAGGAGTTTGAGACAAGTCAGGGCAACATAGTGAGACCCCTGCCTCTACAAAAATCTAAAAGTTAGCTGGCATGGTGGCACGCACCTGCAGTTCCAGCTACTCAGGAGTCTGAGATTGGAGAATGGCTTAAGCCTGGGAGGTCAAAGTTGCGGTGAGCTGGGACTGTGCCACCACGCTCCAACCTGGGTGACAGAGTGAGACCTTGTCTCAAAAACACAACAAAGAAGAAAGAATAAAAAACTATGTCCCAGGGAACCCTCAGCTCCCTCATTACCTCCAGCCCTAGCTGGCCTCTCTCTCTCGGTCTTTAGACTCAGCCTCCTTCACTCCATCTGGACATCCTGCTTCAGCAAATGTTGACACTTACAGCTGGAATAAAAAAAAATTTTTTTTTTTTTGAGACAGAGTCTTGATTTGTTGCCCAGGCTAGAGTGCAATAGCTTGATCTCGGCTCATTGCAACCACCACCTGCCAGGCTCAAGAGATTCTCCTGCCTCAGCTTCCCAAGTAGCTGGGATCACAGGCATCTGCCACCATGCCCAGCTATTTTTTTTTGTATTTCTAGTAGAGATGGGGTTTCACTATGCTAGCCAGGCTGGTCTCAAACTCCTGACTTCAAATTATCTGCCTGCCTTGGCCTCCAAAAGTGCTGAGATTACAGGCATGAGCCACTGGGCCCAGCTGAAGCCATAATCATTTTTTTTTTTTTTTTTGAGACAGAGTCTCACTCTGTCACCCAGGCTGGTGTTCAGTGGCACAATCTTGGCTCACTGCAATCTCCGCCTCCCAGGTTCAAGCAATTCTCTTGCCTCAGCCTCCCAAGTAGCTGGGACTACAGGCATGCGCCACCATGCCCAGCTAATTCTTTGTATTTTTAGTAGAGACGGGGTTTCACCTTGTTGGTCAGGCTGGTCTCAAACTCCTGACTTCATGATCCACCTGCCTTGACCTCCCAAAGTGCTGGGAGTACAGGTGTGAGTCACCATGTCCGGCGCCATAATCTTTTGAAGAGATAGCAAGAGCACTCTGTGGAGTTGTCATAATTAAGTATATGATTAAGCATATAAATAAAAATAAAATCACTCTGGATTTTTCTTTTCAGTTTGTTTCCCATGACAATAGTTGACTCTTTCCTTTCTTCCTTCCTTCCGCTCTCTCTCTTTCTTTTCTTTCTCTTTCTTTCTTTCTCTCTCTCTCTCTCTAAGAAGCAGGGTCTCGTTCGGTTGCCCAGGCTGGAGTGCAGTGGTGCAATCATAGCTCATTGTAACCTCTAACCGAGACTCAAGAGATTCCCGCCACCTCAGCCTCCTGAGTAGCTGGGACAGCAGCTGTGCACCACCACATTCTACTAACTAAAAAAATTTTTGTGCCGGGCGCGGTGGCTCAAGCCTGTAATCCTAGCACTTTGGGAGGCCGAGGCGGGTGGATCACGAGGTCAAGAGATTGAGACCATCCTGGTCAACATGGTGAAACCCCGTCTCTACTAAAAATACAAAAAATTAGCTGGGCATGGTGGCGCGTGTCTGTAGTCGCAGCTACTCAGGAGGCTGAGGCAGGAGAATTGCCTGAACCCAGGAGACGGAGGTTGTGGTGAGCCGAGATCGCGCCATTGCACTCCAGCCTGGGTAACAAGAGTGAAACTCCGTCTCAAAAAAAAATAAAAATAAAAAAATAAAAAAAAATTTAAAAATTTTTGTATGGGTGGGGGTCTTGTTATGCTGCCCAAGCTGTTCTCGAACTTCTGGCCTCAAGCAATCTTCCTGCCTTAGCCTCCCAGAGTGCTGGATTATAGGTGTGAGCCACCATCCCTAGTCTATTCTTTTTCTGAAGATAGTTTCTTGAAAAGTTCTATTTTTTTCAATCAAGTAAGTATTTGATAGGAGTGGCAGAGTGCTAGGTTCACTAGAGCAATGCAAGAATGTGTCTGACAAAGAGTTTACAATCTATCTGGCCAGATGTGAAACTCATGCAGATAACTATGTGGCAAAACAGAAAAGCACAGGCAGTTCAGGTAAAGCAGGGAAGCGAGGACAGAGAGAGGACATCCACTAGAGAAATGGTCAGGGACAGGCCAATTCCACATAGTTCTGCAGGGTAGAATGGAGATCAATGGGGCGTATGGGAGGATCCCAACACAGAAGTCAGAAGGACTTCCAGTCAACTCCAGCTGTTCAAAAGCAAGAGCTGTAGGATCGTGTGGGAAATCTGGATAATCTAATGAAATCTGGATAATCTGTTAAGTATTCTAATGAAATCTGGATAATCTGTTAAGGATATTGTAGAAGATATTCCATATATTTCCCCTTGTTGGTAGGAAGTTTGGACTAGAAAAAAATGCTAAAGCTCCTTCTGACTCTGAATCCCTTATTCCACCAACAAAGCATGGCTTTGCCAAGTGAGCCTCCCAGAAGAAATATCAGCATCTCATGCAGCGTATCTTGGAAAATCAAAATTTTTTTATTAATTTGCTGGATTTCATATACCTAATAATCCTTAAAACAACTATCATCAGCAGCAACACAAACCACATGCAAAATGAAAAACTGATGCCCCAGACAGCACCGCACCACATAGCACACACTTAATAAGGAACAAAACCCTACAGGATGCTGACATAACTTACTTTAAACATGCAAAGATTCCTGCAGGGCTCCCTGGTAATCAACCTCTCTGCATCCTGAGGCTGGATGCTTCAAAGTCTTTGTTCCCTCATCAGGTTTGAAGTCAACACGGCAAGTTAAGGACAAGTTAGATGAGATCCCCCTAGTTCATGACATGAGTTCCTCTTCCTCTCCAAGGTCCATCCACAAGTAGAGGGCCTGATCCCCCACAAGAGATGGCTTAAGCAACCCAGTGGGGAAACTCAGCCTGCCAGCCACATGGGGAGATTCTGTATGTTTCCAAGTACAGCATCCACAGCACTGAAAGCCATAGAGAACTTTCAGCTCAAGCCTCAACTGAAAAATGTGTTGAAAGGGGAGCTCTCAGGACAGAAACTTTGATTTCACAAGTTGGCCCATTTTGGCCCAAATATACCAAATAGAGATGTCATGTAATGTCACTGCAAATCCAGTAACAAGACACTAAGAGTACCCGAGAACCTGGGGTTCTCTATCGGCCATCCAGAAGGTGAGGTCAGCCAGGACGGTGCCCACTGGTGTCTGTCCAACTGATCTGCCAGAGGAAAGCCTGGTCAGTATCCCAGACGCATCAGGCCCAATCCCAGGGGTTCCTAGTTCTCCTTCCATGCCTGCTGTATCCTCTTCGCCACAGCAGTGATCAGCGCTGCCCCTTTTCCACTGCCATCTTCTGACAGCATGAATGTCACATCACATCGAGGGGCTAGTTCCTTCACAGTTTCCTGCAATATTCTAGAAAAGCTATGAAAAAGAGAGAAGCATCATCAGCCCTTCCATGTAGCATCAGCACATTTGCAAATGATCAAAATCTAATTTCTTTAGTCTCTTCCCTTCAGTTTGCTTTCCAAGGCTTTAAACAGCTTCTTTTTCTAATTTTTTTTTGAGACACGGTCTCATTCTGCAGCCCCAGGATAGAGCACAGTTGTGCAATCACAACTCACTGCAGCCTACAGTTTCCAGGCTCAAGCCCCCCAGCTCAGCCTCCCATGTATCTGTGACTACAGGTGTGCATCACCATGCCCAACTAATTTTTGTAATTTTTGCTCATTTTGTATTTCATTTATTTATTTTTGTAGAGATGGAGTCTCTCTGTGTTGCCCAGCTGGTCTCGAACTTCTGAGCTCAAGTGATCCTCCCGTCTCTGCCATTATGGGCATAAGCCACTGCAACCAGTCAACTTACATTTCTTGAGTCCTGTGTGAAGCGCTTTACGTATGCTAACTCATTCCAACCTCACGCATTTAGCCCTATGTGGTAGGGATTATTAGTGCCAGCCTTTTGTGGATGAGAAACCCGGGGTTTAGAGAGGCCAGCTAACATTCCCACATCATATTACTGGGTAGCAGAGGCACCAGGGCTCACGCCTTGTCTGTCAGATTGAATAGGTGACTTGACCACACAGCACTCCTTTCCCATAAAAGGACGGGGACACATCTTCCCATGCGTCAGCTGAGGAGTCTATGCCAAGTCCACCCTTGGCCGCCAGCACCTCCGCTGCCCCACCCACCACGCCTCTCATGGGCACTCACTGAGGGTGTAGTTTGTACAGGGTGCCATCCACACCCACAGTGATCTTCAGGCGTTCCAGCCCCTGGTCTTCTCTCCTTTTTTCCACTACGGCGGCCAGGCCAGCACCGCACAGCTGGGCTGCCCGCCGGGACACGGCTCCGCACACCTCCTTCACCACGATGCTGTCCTCACACGTGCTGTCCAGGCCCAGCTCCTGCAGAATCCTCCTGACCTGGAGGAGGGCCAGCCGATCGCTGCAGGCAACAGAGCAGGGAGTCAGGACCTGCTTTCCAGGGCCCTGGGTCATGCTTAATGCAATACATGGCCTCCCCGTTCTTAGATGCCCATGCAGGAGGGAGGAGAAATTGACCCAGGCAATGGCTAGGCTGGAGTAGAATGCCTTAGAAGCTGAGACTCAAGAAGGTCCACCACCCTGGAAGTTCTACCAACTTTCAAAAATAAAGTGTGAGTGCCTCTGGTGTTCAGCATGTTCATATCTAGATCTCACTAGAAGCCATATGAGCTATAGCAACCAACAGGTACCCATTTTTCAGAAGAGGAGGCTAAGGCTCAGCCTGCTAGAGCTGTGTGTGCCCTCTTGGTAGAGAGCAGGGGCTCAAATGCAAGCCTTTTCACACCACCTCTTGTACTTTCCCACGAATTGTGCCAACTCCCATACTCTGGCCCCCTTCAAGTGAAGGCCACCTTTCCTTCTATTTAACTTTTTCTGATTCTCTGCATTTTCTTCCCTTTTTCTGATTTCTCGGCTCTTGGACAGTTTAAGACTATATTTTCAGTAGTAGCCAGCAGGGTATATTTAATGAGCAAGTGAATAAATGAATATACAAAATACAATCAGAACCTTAGAGAATGGGAACCTGGTAGGACTATAAACACATGCAGAGAAGCACCCATCATAGGGCAGCCTGGCTTCGAGTCTAGACCCTGGTCATCTCACAGGAAACTAAGGGTACTTAAACAGAGCCCTGGCTCCTATGCCATGCAGTGTGAAGTTGTATCCTTGACTGTCTCAGGTAATATTTAGGGAAGAAGAGTGGCATCAAGAAAGAACGATTGAGAAACAACCTATATGACCATACAGGGAATTCAGCAGGTAAATGGCGGTGTAGCCAAATAGAATTCTTTGTAGATCTTAAAGATGAGTGTGTGGCCAGCACAGTGGCTTATGCGTGTAATCCCAGCACTTTGGGAGGCTGAGGCAGGAGAAGCACTTGAGGCCAGGAATTTGAGACCAGCCTGGGCTATATAATGAAACCACATCTCTACAAAAAAAAAAATTAAAAATTAGCCAGGTATAATTGCACATGCCTATATTCCCAGCTGTTTGGGAGACTGAGGCATGAGGATTGAGCTCAGGAGTTTGAGGTTGCAGTGAGCCATGATCATACTGCTGTACTCCAGCCTGGGTAAAAGAGTGAGATCCTGTCTCAAAATAAGATGAGTTTACATGAGAATATTTCATGCCATGGAAAATCTTCATGACACAGTGAAAAAATAGATTATAAAATATTATGCCGGGCGCGGTGGCTCAAGCCTGTAATCCCAGCACTCTGGGAGGCCGAGGCGGGTAGATCACGAGGTCAAGAGATCAAGACCATCCTGGTCAACATGGTGAAACCCCGTCTCTACTAAAAATACAAAAAATTAGCTGGGCATGGTGGCGCGTGCCTGTAGTCCCAGCTACTCAGGAGGCTGAGGCAGGAGAATTGCCTGAACCCAGGAGGCGGAGGTTGCGGTGAGCCGAGATCGCGCCATTGCACTCCAGCCTGGGTAACAAGAGCGAAACTCTGTCTCAAAAAAAATAAAAATAAAAATAAAAATAATTAAAATAAAATATTATGCGCTATATGATTTTGGTTTTTTGTCTTAATGTTTGTCCTTGCCCAGAAAATACACACACACAGGGAAATCTATTCATTGTCAGGATTACAGGTAATTCTTATTTTTCTTTTTTCTTTTCTTTCTCTTTTTTTTTTTTTTTTTGAGACAGAGTCTTGCTCTGTCACTTAGGCTGGAGTGTAATGGCGCTGTCTCAGCTCACAGCAACCTCCTCCACCCGGGTTCAAGTGATTCTCCTGCAGGCACCCGCCACCACGCCCAGCTAATATTTGTATTTTTAGTAGAGACGGGGTTTCACCTTGTTGGCCAGGCTAGTCTCCACCTCCCAACCTCAGGCGATCCTCCTGCCTCGGCCTCCCAAAGTGCTGGGATTACAGGTATGAGCCACCATGCCTGGCCTAATTCTTATTTTTCTTTTGCTTATCTGTATTTGTTAGATTCTCTAAAATGAATGAATAACATTTGTATAGTAAGAAAAAAAGTTTTTTTAACTGGTATGTCTCAAGAGAAAGCCTGCAATTCCTTCCTGGGCCCGGCTTTTCACAGCTTACCCAGTTCAAGTACATTCCCTTCCTGATCCTCACAGCAATCCTGGGGGTTAAGCAACAGGGCAATTACTTACGTTATGAGGCGGGAAACTGAGGTTCAAAGAAGTGAAACAACCTGCCTCAGGTCATGCAGAATCAACAGGTTAAGTAGTGGAGGTAAATCTTAAACTCAAGCTCTAAGTCCCAGGGCTCTTACCCCTGAGAACTGCCCCATCCATTTGACAAACTGCTTTGAAATGGGCCGCAGTCAGCACAGCACCTACCAATTCCCATCAGCCATAAGTGGATGGGATTTTCTTTTTTCTTTTTTTTTGACATGTAGTTTTGCTCTTGTTGCCCAGTCTAGAGTGCAATGGTGCGATCTCAGCTTACCACAACCTCTGCCTCCCATGTTTAAGGGATTCTCCTGCCTCAGCCTCCCAAGTAGTTGGGACTACAGGTATGTACTGCCACGCCCTGGCTAATTTTGTATTTTTAGTTGAGATGAGGTCTCTCCATGTTGGTCAGGCTGGTCTCAAACTCCTGACCTTAGGTGATCCGCTTGCCTCAGCCTCCCAAAGTGCTGGAATTACAGGCATGAGCCACCATGCCCAGCCATGATTTTCTTTTTATTTCATGAAGATTTTAAAAAAGAAAACCTGGCCGGGCACAGTGGCTCACACTTGTAATACCAGCTCTTTGGGACGTCTAAGCAGACAAATGACTTGAGCCCAGGAATTCAAGACCAACCTGGGCAACATGGTGAAACCCCATCTCTACAAAAAATACAAAAATTAAAAATTAGCTGGGTGTCAGCCGGGCGTGGTGGCTCACGCCTGTAATCCCAGCACTTTGGGAGGCCGAGAAGGGTGGATCACGAGGTCAAGAGATCGAGACCATCCTGGTCAACATGGTGAAACCCCGTCTCTACTAAAACTACAAAAAATTAGCTGGGCCTGGTGGCGCGTGCCTGTAATCCCAGCTACTCAGGAGGCTGAGGTAGGAGAATTACCTGAACCTAGGAGGCGGAGGTTGCGGTGAGCCAAGATTGCGCCATTGCACTCCAGCCTGGGTAACAAGAGTGAAACTCTGTCTCAAAAAAAAAAAAAAAAAATTAGCTGGGTGTGGTGGTGTGCACCTGTAGTCCCAGCTACTTGGCAGGGGGTGGGAGCAGGGGAGAGGGGCAGGGGTGGCAGCTGAAGTGGGAGGATCACTTGAACCCAGGAGGTCAAGGATGCACTGAGCTGTGATTGTGTCACTGCACTCCAGCCCAGACAACAGAGTGAGACCCTGTCTCAGAAAAAAAAAAATCTGCAGAAATCAAGACATCCAAAACAGATGGCTCTTGTGCGGCAGAAGCAAATCGCTCTGGAGGCATAAGGGTGTTGCCATGTTGTACTTGTCTAGGAACAAGTTTCCTTGTATTACAGCAAAAACAGCAAGGCAAAGAGAAATAAACTCGCTTATCTATTGCTCATCAGAGAGAAGCTGTTTTATATAGCAAAACAGGATCCCTTTGGTCACCAAACATGATGATTTTGAACCTGTCTGTTCAGATTGGATGGGCTGAAGACTAGACAGAAGGATGCTGAACAGTTGCTAATTAACACTCCAAAAATACATAATCATTGCTGCTGTTACTGACTCTGCCATCGTCTCCTTAAACAATAAGAACTCCCCTTAAACAGCCCATCTGATTTATCTCATTAAGTATACCACTTTTGTGTACAATGTGTTTTCTTTTTTTCCCCCACTGCAAAGTAGTTTTTCACTTGTGGGCACCTGACCATAAAGACCAGGAGAATTAAATGAATGAACACAAATGGAGAGAAAATCCAAAAACAAAGCATCAGACAACAACCAGTGCTAGCACAAAAAGCAGTGAAAGTGACACACTTGTACATAACTGGTGGTGACAGAAATTGAAAATATTTTTAAAAAAAATACTGCGCCCATGGCAAAATACTTCTTTTAACCAAACGTTTCTACTACTAAGGAAATAATTTACAATATTCAAATGACTATGTGTACTAAAAGAACTACGGTGTTACTCAGAATAACAGGAATTTATAAATTAACAAACTAGATGTCCTATACTAAAGGGAAAGTTTAGTAAATTATAGCACAGTAACATAGTATAATATGCAGCCATTCAAAATGATAATTACACCAAAGAGTTGATAGGGGAAAGTTCCTCTTTCTAGAAGTATTCCAGCTAATAACTGCAGGAATCATCACCATTTATGATGTCTAGTGAAATAATAGATCCAGGCAATATGCATCAATGACTGATAATATCCTAAAAGAAAGAGAGACAGACAGACAACTCAATGCCACCTAAGAAATATTCTTGTCCAAAATTCACTACTGAATCTAAGCAAGCATCTGGGTCTAACTATGAGTTTTCAGGAAATACAAGAAGATAGAGGAAAATGCTAAATGCTGCAATCCACAAAATCTAGAATACAGGAAACTCGTAGGATAAGACGACAGTTTCTTCAACAAATACATTGCAAAGGAAAACAAGAGAGGGAGGGGAAACCCATAGATTAACAGAGATTGTTTAAACATATCGATCAAATGCCATGTATAAACTCTGGATACTGATGCAAACAAAAGAACTGTAAAAACCATTAATTTTTGGCAATTCAGGAAATAAGAACACTAACAGGATGTTTTATGAGATTGAGGTTTACCATTAGCTTTTTAAGTGTGATAATGGTACTATAGTTATGTTTTATTAAAAACCCTTATATTTCAGAAATACATTATGAAATATTTATAGATGAACAGATGTAAGATGTGAGCTTTATTTCTAATCAACCCAGCCTGGGGATGGGTCAGCAAGACTGTATAGATGAGCCCAGTTTGGCCATGAGTTTATTATTATTAAACGTGGTGATGTAAACAGTGAGCTCACTTTACTTCTCTTTCCACTTTTGTCTATGCTTAACACTTTGTATAATAAAAAAACAAAATAGCCGGGCGCAGTGGCTCATGCCTGTAATCCCAACACTTTGGGAGAGCAAGGCGGGTAGATCACCTGCGATCAGGAGTTCAAGACCAGCCTGATCAACATGGTGAAACTCTGTCCCTACTAAAAAAAAAAATACAAAAAATTAGCCAGGTGTGGTGGCACATGCCTGTAATCCTAGCAACTCGGGAGGCTGAGGCAGGAGAGTCGTGTGAATCCAGGAGGCAGAGGTTGCAGTGAGCCAGGATCGTGCCATTGCACTCCAGCCTGGGCAACAAGAGCAAAACTTCATCTCAAAAATAAATAAATAAAAATAAAATAAAAAAATAAAACCAGAATTTTAAATGAAAATTTTCATTAACACTGAAAACATAATATACAGAGTGAAAAATGTAATATGATTATGAAAAATGTTTGCATGAATTCAGGAACTTAAAAGGAGCAGGGCACAGTGGCTCACACCTGTAATCCCAGCACTTTGGGAGGCTGAGGCCAGCAGACTGCTTGAGGTCAGGAGTTCGAGACCAGCCTGGGCAACATGGGGAAACCCCATCTCTACAAAAAATACAAAAATTATCTGGGCATTGTGGTGTGCGCCTGTGGTCCCAAGCTACTCAGGAGGCTAAGGTGGGAGGATCATCTGAATGAATAACATATGTATAGTAAGAAAAATGAGATAGATGAGTATTAATGGTTAATATTGTAGAAAAAAAAAAAAAAAAAAAAGAGAGAGAGAAAGAAAAGAAAAAAGAGAGAGAGGCTGTAATTAGCCATGATCGCTCCACTGTACTCCAGCCTGAGTGATGGAGTGAGCTCCTGTAACTAAGAAAAATAAAAATAAAAATAAAAAAATATATAAAATAAAATAAAAGGGAACATAATATGCAAAAATAAAAATAGCTGTATTTGAGCATTTGGTTGATTTTTTCCTAGATATTCATTTTGTTTTACGGACACATTATCTCTTCAGGAATAAAAGGGGATTTTTTTTTTTTTTATTTAGCTTTAACCTAACTCCTGTGTAGCTATTTAGGAAGCTTGGTGGAGGACTCAATCATTTCTGCTAAACACTCTGAGGCCCAGGAAGGCTGCAGGCCCCAGAGTGCTCTGTGCACATGGTCCTCGAGGCTGTGATCCTGAATCAGGTAGAAGGAAGGAGAAGCCCCAGGAGGCAACCCCTTGCCCAGCCAGAGCCTTTCTGTTTTTATTCTTAAACCTCAAATTGGCCCAATCCCAGCGTGGTGGCAGTGTATGCCAGTCAGAGCCTCACAATGAACTTGATCACCACAGGTCACCTTTCGATCTGGGACAGGAACTTGGTTTCGAAGATGCCCCTGGTCCGGAGACGCTCTGAAATCTGCCCTCTGAAGAGGAGACCCTGCTTGGTCAGGTCGATCAGGATCTGCCGTACGATCTCCCCCAGGTACATCCCACTGGTCATTTTCTCGTATCTGTTTGGGGAAGAGGGATAAGGTTGGGGCAGACATGCAATGCAGAAGACACCATGATGTGAGAAGGCCAGGCTTTGGAGCCACATGCAGCAAGATCAGGGTCCCAGCTCTGCCACATACTAGCTGTTTGATGTGAGCAAGCACTGCAAGCTATCATCTACAAAACTGGGAGCAGAGTAGCCCCCACAAGGCTGTTAGGAGGCAAGCATCTGGGCACAGTGGACACTAAGCAAAAGTTAGTCCCCAGCCTTGGCCCCAAAGCCAATTCTCCTTGGCTTTATGTTACAAATCTGTTCCACTGGAGATTCTGCTCTGTGAGATAACACACTGAAACTGTCTGCATGCACCAGCGGTTCTCAAAAGTGTTAATTCACTCACTTTGGGAGGCTGAGGCAGACGGATCACGAGGTCAGGAGATCGAGACCATCCTGGCCAACATGGTAAAACCCGTCTCTACTAAAACTACAAAAATTATCTGGGTGTAGTGTCATGTGCCTGTAATCCCAGTTACTCGACAGGCTGAGGAGGGAGACTGAACCAGGGAGTCGGAGGTTGCAGTGAGCGGAGATCGCGCCACTGCACTCCAGCCCAGTGACAGAGGAAAGCTGCGTCTCAAAAAAAAAAAAAAAAAAAAAAAAAAAGTGTTAATTTCTTCCCCGTTTCTACCACACCATGAGCTCCAGGACAGCCAAGAGAGCAAGAGAGAAAAGGGGCCTTGTACTGACCAGGCACTCTACACAGGGTGTGTAATGGGGACACACATCATCATTAACAACAATGACACAGAGCCAGACTGCCACTGCTTGCAGAGTCAAATGGAAAGCATTTATGTGCTGGGCTTGGGTTCTCTTAACTGCACAAGACCTCATCAGTCTAAGGGAATTAACACCAGAACAGACAAACAATGGTGCTTCCAAGGCAAGTTCAAAGGTGCTGCCCCCTTAAAATCTCAGTCTAAAAATGTAAGACTTCAGCGGATACAGACACAAAACTAACTAGAAGGAACTGCCCCTTGAGAAGAACCATGATACTCAGATGCCCCAACTTAGGATTCAAAGGTAAGATCCCTTCTTTCTGGAGCAATCCCTGCTTCAGCTGGGCTTACCACAACTCACCTGCCTTCCAGTTACAAAGATTGGTGCTGAAGGGGCAAGAAACCACCAGCGCTGGTCTTTTGTCTGGTCTGAGCCTCTTGCTAGACAATGTTCTCAGTTCAACAGCTCACAAGGTGTCCATGGCCTAGGCATCCCCTCCCATTTCCCATCTGCTCAAGCTCTCAACTTGGATGGCACCCATACAATAAATCTATGTTTCCCCTTATTTTCTATATTAAGACACTGATTGGCTTTGACCATATGGCCTGCAAAACCTAAAGCATTTACTATCTGGTCTTTTACAGAATAAGTTTGCCAACCCTTCTTCTAGTGGATGGTCCCGGGTTAATAATCAAGTTTTAGCATGTGATATGGTTTGGATTTATGACCCCACTCAAATCTCATGTTGAATTGCAATCCCCAGTGTTGGAAGAGGGACGTGGTGGAGGTGAATGGATCATGGGATGGATTTCCCCCTTGCTATTCTGGTGATAATGAGTGAGTTCTCACAAGATCTGGTTGTTTTAAATTTTTTTTTTTTCTTTTTTTTTTGAGATGGAGTCTCACCCTGTTGCCCAGGCTGGAGTGCAGTGGCGTAATCTCAGCTCACTGCAACCTCTGCCTCATGTTCAAGCGATCCTCCTGCCTCAGCCCCCCTAGTTGCTGGGATATACAGGCATGCACAACCATGCCTGGCTAATTTTTATATTTTTAGTAGAGACGGGATTTCATCATGTTGGCCAGGCTGGTCTCAAACTCCTGACCTCAGGTGATCTGCCTGCCTTGGCCTCTCAAAGTGTTGGGATTACAGGCGTGAGCCACCGCACCTGGCTGATCTGGTTAAGTGTGTAACACCTCCCCCTTCACTCTCTCTTCCTCCTTCTCCAGCCATGTAAGACGTGCCTGCTTCCCCTTCACCTTCCACCATGATGGTAAGTTTCCTGCTGCCTTCCAGCCATGCTTCCTGTACAGCCTGTGGAACTGTGAGTCAGTTAAACCTCTTTTCTTCATAAATTACCCAGTCTCAGGTAGTTCTTTATAGGAAAAGGAGAATGGACTAATATCACATGCCAACTCTATCTCTGCTACCCCTTTCTTTCATAATATCAGCATGGAAGTGAAATCTACTCTATTTTTTAAGCCATTCATTAGTTTCAGTATTTTTCATATGATTAGTCATTGGAATATACCTTGCAAGTGACCGTGACCCATGGTAGGACATGACATCATGGTTGAGAACCAGCACTCCCGTCCATCACAGGTGGCCACTTCCCCCCCCCAGAAAAGGTCACCAACCTGGTAGCCGGCTCCTGAAGGCCTGAAGATGTTGGCCTCTGAAAGAGACTTATTAAAAGCCCATCCCAAGAGGGCTCACTCACCGTGCCCTTGGCGAATGAACATGCTGGCAGCCTCTGCCTCACTTCCAGAACCACCGCTAGAGCTTAGGGGGCCTTACGGTAATTAGAAAAAGGGACTTTTTACCTGTTCCAAACTTGTCATAATATTTTTCTTTTGTTCCCACATGATATTTCACTGACATCTGACAGCTGTAATAAGCACACAAAGCTATGCTGTCTATGGTACCCCCTTAAGTCTGGTAGTGTTGCTCACTACACAACCGGCATGAATGCACACATCCACACTCTTCACCTCTGCTTGCCAGGATTCAAGGAGCCCTCGTCCACCTCCATGTCGTATTGGGTCCAGATGTCCTCTATGCAGCCATTGTCTCCAAATCCTCCCCACTCTGTGTTGATGCACATCTTCCCTTCATCCCCCTCCACCACCTCGATGTTCCTCATGTCTTCCATGTAGCACAGGTTGCTGCCTGTTCCTAGAGGGAATTGTGAAGGAACATCAGTCTTTGAAGACACCACCAGGTTTTAGAAAGGCGGCAGAGTGCAGCAAATAAGAATTTAGGCTTGGAGTGAGACATGACTGAATGTGAATCCAGCTTTACAGTCATAGCTGGCCAACCTTAGGCAAGCATCTCATCTTTCAGAGGCTCAGTTTCCTCATTTCTAAGAAGGAAATAAGGCCGAGCGCAGTCTCAAGCCTGTAATCCCAGCACTTTGGGAGGCCAAGGTGGGCAGATCACCTAAGGTCAGGAGTTCGAGACCAGCCTGGCCAACCAACATGGCAAAACCCCATCTCTGCTAAAAATAAAAAAAATAAAAAAAATAAAAAAAATAAACTGGGTGTGGTGGCATGTGCCTATAATCCCAGCTACTCAGGAGGCTGAGACAGATAATTGTTTGAGCCTGTGAGACAGAGGTTGCGGTGAGCTGAGATCATGCCACTGCACTCTAGCCAGGGCAACAAAGAGTGAAACTCCATCACACACACACACACACACACACACACACACAAGAAGGAAATAATACCTGCCTTATGGATTTGTTATGAAGTACTATTTGTAAGTTTCCTTCACATGGTAAGCATTCAATAAATCGTACCTGCCATCTTCATCATCATGATTGTTAAGCCCTAGGCACACAAAGCTTCCAACTAGTCGTAAAATTAGCAGTCAGAGTTGGAAGGGACCATGAGGAATCATCTAGTCTTGGACAAGCACATGCTTGGCATCTGTGAGCCACTCTCTTCTTCCTTGCCCATGACTTGGCCTCAGAACTATTCTCAGCACAGCAGTCCAGGCAAGAATTACAGTCAATCAACAGGCCTCACCTCTTTGCCCTCCTAGATCTAGCCCAATCCCTCCCACAGATGAAGAAACTCAAGTCAGACAGAATAAGCCACCTGCCCAAGCTCACAAAGCAGGTGAGAGAGTGAGAGGAAACCTCTTACCTGGCATTGGAGATAGCTCACTGCGTCCCACCCCCTTGTTCCACCTGCTGCTTATACCCAGAAAGCCCAGGTGATCACATGGAACAACTTCTCTAGGTTCTATCATTACTCAGCCTGTGCCTGTTACCTGGAATGCCTTTTGTCCCCATCTCCACCTGTTCCAATCCTACCCATTCTACCCATCATAGAGAGAGCTTCCCCCTATAATCTACCCTTGGCCTTAATCATGGCCAGACTTCTCCCAAAGACCCTTAAAATGCCTCTATCAGGCCACTCCTTTCCCCTCTTCTAAGTTTGTTTCCAGCTCCTCTCCTTCCTGTGCACCCTAAGAACCAGAAGAATTCAGAGAACAGAAGAGGTGCACATTGGAGCCAGAGTGAAAATCTATAATAGCTCCCTCAGCCCCAGGCCAGGATGATCCAACCGTGGTCTCCTTCCTCCGATGACAATCACCCCCGAGGTCCTAACCGAAAGATCCCTTCTTCCTGTGTCATTATCCTTCCTCAATCGAAAGGATGACCTTGGCTTAGGACTGTTAACGAAGAAAGAACTTGGCAACCTGGAGTTCCAATTTTACTTCATCTCTGCCTTGGGCAGAGCCTTTGTATAATGGAACAATGCCTGTCTCCTCACTATGTTAAAAGGCAACCATCAACAGATTCAGGGGGATTAGGCCAATGGGCCATGCCAGACCACTTACCTGCAATCAGGCCAATCTCACAATTAGGATCTTCATAGCCACAGGTCATCATGGTCCCCACTGTATCATTCACAAGTGCAACAATGTCCAGGTCAAACTCCTGCAGAAAAAAACACAAAAACAGCTCTACTATGAGTTGAATGTGCAAGTCAAACAGCCTTAGCAGGGGCATGTCATCCCAAGGCGGGCAGAGGCCAGAGTCACAGGAACTGGGCAGAGGTTGGCAGAGCAGAGGGTCTCGGAAAGGCGGCAGGAGCAGGCGTGAGCCTCAACACCACATCCTACGTTTCTCCTCTTGATGGCTTCCCTGAGCATGTCCACCACGTCCTCCCCTTCACAGTCAGTGGCCTTGAAGCCTTTGGTCCACCCTATGAGTGCTCCCTGAAAGAAAGGAGGGAAAATTCATTTGAGCAATAGTTTGCTGGGGCCACTGCACAACCTCAACATCCAACAGATGCAAGGCACTATAGCTGTCAAGTACACATGTCACTATGCAAGGCACCTGACTGCTTGTCAAGTACACATGTGGTTTTGACTGTGCCTCCACCTCCCCGGCCCCAACCCTGGGCACACCAGCATCGCAGAGCACAACCACTGAGTGTTCTACTGCTGAGTGGAATCACTGCAGCAATTCATACTCATCAAAGCTCATATCATGTTCCCTGACCATGACTACCCAAAATAAAGGCCTAGAATCATAGTGATGCTACTTCTTTTTTTTTTTTTTTTTTTGAGACAGAGTTTCCCTCTTGTTGCCCAGGCTGGTGTGCAATGGCGCAATCTTGGCTCACAGCAACCTCTGTTGGGTTCAAGTGATTCTCCTGCCTCAACCTCCCAAGTAGCTGGGATTACAGGCATGCGCCACCATGCCCAGCTAATTTTTGTTTTGTTTTTTTTGAGACAGAGTCTTGCTTTGCTGCCAGGCACCAGGCTAGAGTGCAGTGGCACGATCTCGGCTCACTGCAACCTCCGCCTCCCAGATTCAAGCAATTCTCCTGCCTCAGCCTACCGAGTAGCTGGGACTATAGGTGCACGCCACCACTCCCAGCTAATTTTTTTTGTGTTTTTAGTAGAGACAGGGTTTCACCATGTTGGCCAGGATGGTCTCGATCTCTTGACCTCATGATCTTCCCGCCTCGGCCTCCCAAAGTGCTAGGATTACAGGCGTGAGCTACCGTGTCCAGCCATGATCCAACTCCTAACTTGGCCAAGGACAGATTATGATGTGATCAAAGGCAAAGCTATCAAATGTTTATCAAAGCATGTTTCACAGTGAAAAACTAGAGGCATCCTACAGCTCAACAGTATGGATCTATCATTCTGTACCTCAATACAGGGCATGGTATACACCCATAAATAATTGCACTGTCAGAGAACATTGGACGTGAGAGAAAGAGATTTTCCACACACTGTTAAGTGAAAGCACATCAAACAAATACAGATAGTGAATTATTCTATTTTTTTTTCTTTCTTTTTTTTTTTTTTTTAAAAA